GAAACCATTATTAAGGAAAGAATTAGTAGGCACATAGATGAACAAAACCTATTGAGGCAGACTCAACATGGGTTCTGTAAGGGAAGATCTTGTCTCACTAACCTGTTAATGTTCTTTGAGGGGGTGAACAAACATGTGGACAAGGGGGATCCAATAGATATTGTTTACCTTGACTTCCAGAAAGCTTTTGATAAAGTTCCTCATCAAAGGCTCCTAAGCAAGCTCAAAAATCATGGGATAAAAGGACAAGTCCTTTTATGGATCAAAAACTGGCTAATTAATAGAAAACAGAGAGTGAGTATAAATGGGCAGTTCTCCCAGTGGAGGGGTGTAAGCAGTGGGGTACCACAGGGATCAGTACTTGGTCCACTGCTTTTTAACTTGTTCATTAATGATTTGGAGTTGGGAGTAAGCAGTGAAGTGGCTAAATTTGCGGATGATACGAAGTTGTTCAGGGTGGTGAAAACCAGTGAGGATTGTGAGGCACTCCAAAGGGATCTGTCAAAGTTGGGCGAGTGGGCGTCAACATGGCAAATGGGGTTCAATGTGGCCAAGTGCAAGGTGATGCACATTGGAGCCAAAAATCCTAACTATAAATACACGTTGATGGGGTCTGAACTGGCAGAGACAGATCAAGAGAGAGATCTTGGAGTTGTAGTAGATAACTCACTGAAAATGTCGAGACAGTGTGTGACTGCAATAAAGAAGGCCAATGCTATGCTGGGGATTATTAGGAAGGGTATTGTAAACAGATCAGCCAATATCATAATGCCGCTATATAAATCAATGGTGCGACCTCATCTGGAATACTGTGTGCAATTCTGGTCACCACACCTTAAAAAGGATATTATAGCTTTGGAAAAAGTGCAGAAAAGGGCAACTCGAATGATAAAAGGGTTGGAACACTTTCCCTATGAGGAAAGGTTAAGGCGCTTAGGACTCTTTAGCTTGGAGAAACGACGACTGAGGGGTGACATGATCGAGGTTTATAAGATTATGCATGGGAAAGAGCAGGTAGAGAAAGAGGTACTTTTCTCCCTTTCTCACAATACAAGAACCCGTGGGCACTCCATGAAATTGCTGAGCGGTCGGGTTAGAACGGATAAAAGGAAGTACTTCTTCACCCAAAGAGTGATTAACACTTGGAATTCACTGCCACAGGAAGTGCTGGCGGCTACAAGCATGGACGGCTTCAAAAGGGAATTAGATAAGCATATGGAGCAGAGGTCCATCAGTGGCTATTAGCCACAAGGTATAGATAGGGACTCTGGGGCAAGTGATGCTCTGTCATCTTGGTGCTTGGGGGGGATCAACAGTGGGAGGGCTTCTGATGTCCTGGCCCCACTGGTGGACCTCCTGATGGCACTGGTATTTCTGGCCACTGTGGGATACAGAGTGTTGGACTAGATGGGCCTTTGGCCTGATCCAACATTGGCATCTCTTATGTTCTTATGTTCTTAGGATGCTCTTACCAGTTGCTATTCCAGCCACAATGAACTGGATGGGTGAGAACCTTACTATACAAAATACTGAATCTAACTTGGACTGAAGAAGTGAATGGAAGGAATTGCAAAGCTTGCATAAAGTGTTTAGGGTACGAAAGAGCAAGAAGGTTCAGTGGTGGGTTGTTTGGCCACTGAGTAATGGTGAATGTCTTGAGTCTTCATCTGTGGTCAGGTAAATTTTATGCGCCTCCTCCACCCTTACCTTAGAATGAGTAAAGGTGGAAAGTATGGGCATTATCCCTCGCTAAACCCAAGGAGTATCTTTAAAATATCATTACAGTTCTAGAACAAGATATACCTATTGATTTGAACACAGTTAATGAGCAAGGTACTCAAGATATATTGTGGACATAGAGACATTCTACTTCCCACTGACATGAATTCAGATTTATTTTTTTGAAAATCATCGATCTGCTGAGTCTGCCATAATATATAGCTATTATATCAACTCAAACACACAGAATATTTGCTTCTTAATAAGGGTGTCCTTATCCCCGCCTGGCAAATAACTCAGCTATTTTGAAATCCATGCAATCCCAAATATTTCAAACTATCAACCAACTCTTCTGCAATAGCAAATAGACTTTAATGATTCCTTGGGTAAGCAGATAACATACTAAATTCCAAGCAGGATCTGGGAAACTAATAGATATGATGCATGTGGGCAATACAGCATTCTAAGATGCTTCTTAGAAACTGAGCACAAAGTCAACCATCTATATATCTAATAGCCAAGGTATGTTTTGGGTGTGGATACTTATTCCTGCCAACAGAGGGCTCACTCTCCCCCAACAGTTTTTTCTACAGACTCAGGGGATTTGAAATGGCCTCTGCAGGGGCCAGTCACTCTAGGCATCAACGGTGAGAGATTAGAACATGGGGGGGGCTTCTAACTGGGTCTGTCAGCAAAAGGCATGAGGAGGGGGAAGGGCCCTTTCCAGGCCTATTTTGGCCTTTGAGAGAGGGAGCCTTGGGGCCAGGCCTGACAATGTTTCCCAGTGTCAGGCTGGGAAATTCCTAGAGGTTTCATGGTGGACTCTAAGGAGGGCTGGGTTTGGGAAGAGAGAGGCCTCAGCTGGGTATAATGCCACAGAGTCCAGCTTCCAAAGCAACCATTTTCTCCAGGGAGACAGCTTTCTGCTGTCTAGATTTCAGTTGTATTTCTGGGGGGTCTCCAGATCCCACTTGGAAGCTGGCAACCCTAGGCCTGGCAGCAGTCTAGGGTTGCCAGGTCCCCTGGCAGGGAATAGTGGGGGTAAGGTTGCCAGATCCAGGCTGGGAAACTCCTGGAGATTTGGGGTGGACCCTGGGGAGGACAGAGACCTCAGTGAGGTACAATGCCATAGAGTCCACCCTCCAAAGCATCTATTTTCTCCATGGGAAGTTATCTCTGTAGTCTGGAGATGAGCAGTAATTCCAGGGGATCTCTAGGTCCCACCTGGAGGCTGGCATCCCTAGGCAGCATCTTATAGGTGACTTGATACTACCTGACTTGCGTGACTCAACTAGACCCAGCTGCTTGCTATTCTTCACAGCAGCCACAGTATGAAAGCCAGTGTGGTGCAGCAGTTAGAGCTTCAAAGTAGGGTATGCAAGTCCCAGGTTCAGATCCCCATATTGCAGTGGAAGCTGACTGGGTGATTTTGGATCAGTCACACACTTTCAGCCTAACCAACCTCACAGGGTTGTTGTGCAGATAAAAGGAGGAGAGAATAATGTAAGCTGCTTTGGTCCCCACTGTGGAGAAAGACTGTAATTTTCCTAGGTAGAGGCCGTGGTGGAGGGGGGTGGAGATGGAAAGCTGAAGACAAATAAAGGCAGATAAAGGTAGGTTGGCTGTTGGGTGGGAAGGAAATAGGGTTGCCACCTCCAAGTTGGGAAATTCCTGGACATTTGAGGGGTGGACCCTGGGGAGTGTGGGCTTTGAGGAGGGGAGGAACCTCAGCAGGGTATAAAGCCATGGATTCCACCCTCCAAACCAGCCATTTCCTCCATGAGAATTACCACTGCCAGCTTTCAGGGGAGAGCTGGAGATCACCCAGAAGTTCCCCTGGATGAAATGGCTGCTTTGGAGGGTTGAGTCTATGGCATTGTACCCTGCTGAGGCTGCTTGCCTCCCCAAGCCTCACTGTCCCAAGGCTCCACCCCCAGATCTCCAGGAATTTCCTAACCTGGAGCTGGCAGCCCTAAGGTGAATTGATCTCTATAGCTGGGAGATTCCTGTTATGATTCCTGGAGAGATGCCACCAGTGTTCCCTCTAAGCTGAGTTAGTGTGAGCTAGCTCACAGTTTTTTAGCCTCTGGCTCACACATTTTTGCTTTAGCTCAGGAAGGATGGCTCCAGAGCCAACTAATTTATGCAGAAGCCAAATGGCTCACTCACAACTTTAATGCCAGTAGCTCACAAAGTAGAATTTCTGCTCACAAGACTCCATACCTTAGAGGGAGCATTGGATGCCACTGCTGCTGTGGGGAGGAGGTGAAGCAGGTGGGTGGCTGGGAGCACTTCCACCACTGCTTCTGCTGCTGTGTGGGGTGGGGTGGGGGAGGAGGCAGGCAGGAGGCTGGGAGAGTGATGGGGGCAGAAAAAGACAGTGATGGGGTGGGGGGCAAAAAGAGAAAGTGATGAAATGGGGAGGCCGAAAAACAAAGAGAATGATGAGGGGGCAGAAAGAGGGAGGAAGTAACATGCATGGAGAAGAGAGAAAGAAAATGGGGGGGCGCAGAAGAAAGAGTGTGAGAGACGTAGGGGGAGAGGGGAGAAAGCAAAGGTGTGAAGAATGGGATAACCATCCCACAAATTTCTTGCGGGTCTCCACTTGTAATGATTTTTATATATACAAAGTTTAAGAAACATAAAATTTAGCTACAATTCATTCTGCAATTTGCATAACAGAATTCACTGTATTATATATTACAAAACTATTTTCAACTGTTTGCATTATCTGCATGACTATTCACATCGCCTCTGCTAAAGATGTTAACATCAGAATCAGCATGCAGTGTAAATGAAGCCAGGGGGAACATAACTCATCAGTGGAAACCTCAGTAACTAAAGCTTTAAAGATATTCTAAGGGTGTCAAATGAACATATATGGACAGGGAAGGGTACTACAGTGGAAAGCACTGCCCCTAACCTAAACACTAACATTGGAGCAGGCCTATGGAACCTATGACTGGGAACCATAAAAAAAACAGGGTTCACAACTGTGTGAAGAGAAAGAACCACATGCATATGTGGATGTCATACCTGTAGACTCTAAGCATACTTTCCAAATGTGTGTTGATTTGGGGCACAACTAGTAATTGCAATACTGCCCCCCTCCCCCAGTCTATTCTCTTTAAAACATCTGCAAGAAAATGGGTTTCTTTTGAACTCAGTGGGTCACTTCGTGTGCTTTCTGTTTATGACTTTGGATATTTTGAACCTGCAGTTGGACACTGAAAAAGCATAAAACTCAAGCTGGATTCCGTCACCCAAACTATCCCCCATACGTTCAGTTCTTTCACATCAATGGTTCCAGAATCATCTTTATCAAACAAATCAAAAGCTTCTCTGATCTCCCGCTTTTGGTCTTCAGACAGTTCATGTTTCAATCCACTTTTCTTTCGCGCAACAGAACCCGTGTTACGTCTTCTATAGCCAGATGCCATCTGTTAAGTAAGCGAAACAGAAGAAGTAGGAAATAGTATTTGGATACAACTAGAAGTAGTAAAAAAGTTTATTGCGTCACATTCTACAAAAAATCATATTTGATTTGCCCCCAAAAGCCAAGACATTGAAACAAAGAACCATTTGTGTTTTTTTAAACCGTGTATTTTCTAGCTGTGTTTCCCAGTTTTTTCTAACTTGTTGCTGGATGCTTTTGACGTTTGTGTCCATCCCTTCCTCTCCCTTGCTGCTTGAGATGGCTTACAAAACAAAACTTGACAAAATAATAAAACAGCAAAAATAATCAAACATGAACAAGCTATTAACAACCCAGCATTAAAAACTCTTCCATGGCCTTAATACTGCATAAAATTTTAACAGCCTAAAATCAGTTTCATATAATAGTTCTCAGGCTAGAAACAGACTGCAGAAACAATTCAATCATGATGTGCTGATGGAAACATTAAACAAATAGAACTTTGGGTGGCATTTTGGGCTGGGGAAGTAGGAGTGGGGAGAGGACCTAGGGAAGGAGAAACTGCAGGGGCTGCAAAGGAGTAAGCCAAGTCTGAAACCTGGGTTCTAGAGCCAATTGTATGGCTCTTTAACAAGAAAATCAAACCTTGGATTTGGTATGCTGGAGGCACATGTGGGATGGTAGAATAACCAGTATGTGAAGGGATTAGCATGGAAGCATTTTTATGGGACGGAAGGGCTTCTTAGAGATGCTCAGGGGTCATTTCCTGCAGGAGCGCACAGGAGCGGAGCTCCGGCAGTAAAGAGCCCAGGAGGCGGGCACATGCAACAAGCCCCACCCCCTACTCCCAGCAGCCCTCAGTCAGAGCAAGAAGCAGCCTGGTAAGCTGCAGAGCCCCCCCGCCCCCCAGTCTAAAACAGTCCAGTGGCACTTTTAAGACCAAGTTTTATTCAGGTACAAGCTCTCCCTCCTCTGTGAGGACAGATCTGCATGCCCCCCCCCCAACAGCTAGCAATCCAAAACAGTCCAGTGGAGCCTGAGTGGTGGATGTGGCATATGCAAATAAGTTATGCTAATGAGTTGTACTAATCAGCTCCTGCACCTCTTTTTCTACGAAATGACCCCTGGAGATGCTATAGGAAGGGAAATGACAGAGGTGAACAGCTACCAATAACCAAGGTGTGAAAGATATGTAGATTTATGTTGGTGCACTAAAACAATTGCTTCGAATGCTCCTGTGTATATTTATACTCATTGTGAACCCTTGTATGTGCAACTTCCTAAGTGGAGTTTTCCATCTTCCATGAGTCCTTGTAGGTTCCCCTACGTTTACTAATAAAATCCTGAACTTGACTATATGCATGACTATATTCAAATGTGTGGGTATATGCATGTTTGCTCAGAAAGAAGCCCCAATGTGCTCAGTAGGGCTCATTCCCAAGTATATGTAGGACACCACAACTTGATTCCCATACATATTTCCTCATAAGTCCCACAATCCAACAGGATGTCCTCTCACGTAATTGTGATTTTAGTTCAAGGCTGCAGTCCTATGCAATCCCATGGGACAAATGAATGAGCATGCTTAGGACTGAACTCTAAGAACACAGAACTGTGCCTTTAAATCTCTCCACAATCCCCAAAGGAAACAGTCCTTTCCTATTTAAAGTGAAGATTTCCACCTATTTTGAGATGGAAATGACAGTAAATCTAGGAACTTGAAAGAACCTTCAATAGTGAGATTTGCTTGAATTAATCATGTGGGATTTAGTGTAAAAATATAACTATAAAGCCATCGTTTAAGGTGTGTGGGCACCGCATGTTGCAGTAATGAACTCTTGTGGCTGTCACTAGTGAATCCAATGAACAAGGCTTGAGAAGGTGGGCAAATACAGATTTACCAGTTTGCTTTCTCATAATTCAACTCTCACAAATACTCTCACTTACTAGAGTGCTGGGAAAGAACTACACACCACTCACTATTATGTAAAAGCTGCTGCCTCCCTCTCACTACTTTATGTACACAAACCAAACCTTGGAAAACTGAATCTTCAACTGCCTTCATTTGCCAGTTGTGTTCAGTTTTTGAAAGCTGAGCATGGCCAATTTGGGGGGGGGCAATTCTGGTTAAGTCCCACCTTATTTTCTTCCAAAGACCCATCAGGCAATGCAAAAGGAAGGTGGGCATTGTGACATTGCATAGAATTTCATGTTGTCATTTCAGTTGGATATAAAATAAACAGGGGTGTTTATATCTTCGCAACCAGAACGGTGAGCATCTCTGCCTCCTCCTCCACACACATTTGTGGTTAATGAAGGATTTCTTCCTGTAAACAAAGTAAGTGTGAAGTTGCAAGAGCTGTAGCAGGCAGGTTACCCAGTGCTACATTTGTGACAGGGTTCACTCTGCAAATTGTTTTTGACTACCACTGCTACATCCTGAAATATGTAGAACAACAATACAGTACATTTCCGAACATGTACCGTGTATCTTCAACCACAGTTTTTTTCTAGGTGGGTAGCCGTGTTAGTCTGTAGTAGCAGAACAAAATTTGGACACAGTATGACAGGTGGTATCTGACAAAATGAGCTTTGACTCACAAAAGCTTATACCTTGGGAAATTTGTTGGGCTCTAAGGTGCTTTTTTACCTTTACTGGACTCAAATTTTGTTCCACAAAAATATGTTCTTCTTTAAAGTGCTATAGAGATATTTGACATTTCAGCTTCAAGACAAACACTGCATATTTTTTTCACCATTAAGCACAGTGTCTTTGATTCTAAGGGGCGCTTCCATCTCTGCAGAGCAGCTCCCCCCATAGAATGGCTTTTCTGTCTGTAGAGGAAGAGAGGGAAATTGTTGCCGATTTCCCCCTCCTAGCCCAGAACCAGGTTCCACAATCAGAAGTTGAAGCACCCCTGTCTCTCTCCCCCAATACCTTTGAGGTTAGTGAGATTCCCAGTTTGCATGACCAACTGCAGCAAGAAGGTGACGGGAGAGGGAGAAGGAGACATTGGGTTTACCTGAAGGGTTCTTCTCTGCAGTGAAGCGAAGTCATCCAAACTGGTTAGGTCACACATCTTCTTGCTCCAGGCAGGGCTACGCAAACTTTCTGTATGACTCTCCCGGACCAGAATGGGGCTGACCCTCCAGTCATTGTATAGCCCAGCTCTGTAAAGGAACTAGATTCTCCTTTTTTTCTTTTTTGGTGGTGGGAAGTGAATGGCTTCACCCCACTGAAGAGAAGAAACCTTTAATCCAACCCATGACTCCTACTTGTTTTCTTTTTTTTTGTTTAGATATTTTTATTGTTATTATTATTATCGTTCTGATTATACATTTTCATATTTCATTATACTCTAACAGTTTTTCCCCGTCCTCCCCCCCTCCCTCCAGTCTGTTGTTTTTAGTCCTTTTCTCTCAGCCAGGGGCATAGTGTTTGGAGCTTCCACTGAACGTCGTTCCTTTGTTCTTCTTCCATCCATCTCCAGTATATGGTCCATTTCGCTTGAATTGTCTCTGTTCTTTCTTCCCACGGCTTGTCTTGGTTGATTACGGAGATTATCTCTGGCTGAATAATTTCCTACTTGTTTCCTGTTCCTAGGTGAGAGCTACTCCTTCTTCACATGGACTCACACACATCTGCCACCCCTTTCATCGGGGGGGGGGGGTTTCATTCCCTCCAGACCAGATGGTTGCTTAGTCAGAGCCATTCAGAGCTACTAAGGTTCACATTGATGGGTCTCCTCCAGTACTAACATCCTTTTTGTTATGCCTCAGAGGCAGAATCACAGTGATCAGAGGCCAAGCACGTATGGCAGAACTACGGTTGCCAGGTCCTTACCTGCTGCCAGTGGGGGGATCTGGGGGGCATTCCAGGGTGGGCGGGGATGTTGTTGATGCAATGACAGCACTTCCGAAAGTGACATCATCACCTCGGTGTTGTCGGGGCAACACTACTTTTTGGGCAAAACGCTGTGGTAAAAATGGCTACAAACAATAGTTTTTGCCCCAAAAGTAGAGCGTCACCTCTGATGTACTGATGTCACTTCCAGAAGTGACGTCATCATGTCGATGATGTTGCCAAGGGATGTCTTTTGGGGGGTGGGGTTTCCCCCAATGGCTAGCTGGCTGGTGGCGAGCCTGAGCCTGAAAAAGCAGGGGATCCCCTGCCCCCACCTGGGGGCTGGCAAGCCTAGGTAGAACCATTCACAAATTTCCAGCAGCACACACACACACACACACTTGTCACAATATTGTATTTACATGATACTTAAATTATAATTTCAGGGCAAGCATTAAGCTACCAGAGGAACATCATCTGAGGTTTGTTCTCCATCTTGGGTTCCAAATAGGAGTGCTTGATTTTGGAGCCTCCACATGATGTCGTGCTGTGGTCTTTCTGTTTCCAGGATTTCTCCACACTTATTATGCTCTTTCCCAAACATGTTTAACTCTTATTTTTATGGAAAGAACACAATCCAAGCATAGTAGCATGCCTTCTGGAAGGGAGGGTGCACATTTTCTTGTAATGCAAATGTCCTGTCTTCCTTGGTGCCATTTTCTCACTGTCAGCCAATCAGGAAACATTTTTCCAGCATTTTTTTTTCTTCCCACAATCCTGAGTGCATTTTGAGGTTTGTTTTTTTTTAAAAAAACAAACAAACCAACAATCTAGTCACTGCTGTAGAGTTCTAGCATGATAACAATCTATTTTTAGATTTATTTCAAATAGATCCATTAGGGCACTAAAGGCACTTTTTTGACATGTTGGGAACATTGCCTCTGAGCATACACAGAAAACTCTTTCTATTAAATGTCAGTCTTAGCACTTCTCTCCAGTTACATTTATATATGAGAAGGCATTTCCAGATACATTTCCTCCTGACTGACAACCTTAACAAGCAAAATGTTAATTTGCAAATCAAACTTAGTTTTCAAAAAGTGAAGAGATCTTTGCATTATTTCAAACTTTTTGGGCACTAATTGTGTAAGGAGGATTTAATTTTTTGTCTCTGAGTACAC